GCAGTCATGGCTTGTCTTTCAGAGTTTCTACGATTTATTTTTTAAAGTGACTAAATTTTACATTCTGCTTATTGCAACCTTGTAGAACATAAAATGCCAAACACTTCAGTCACCATTCGATGCAGATTCTTCTCCTCTTTCTAACACTCGTCTTTTTTTTTGCCGAGACAGGCGAATTTGTGGGAAAAATTGCAATATTTCTCAATTTCAGGAGTGCGCACTGACGTAACCTAACCCGAAGCAAAAATCGCTCATTTACTTTGTAATGGTAGCGGTAGTAATAATCGTGTGTTAAAACCTCAGTATTCTGTAGGTTTTGCAGTGTTTGGTGCATTAACAGGTTCTGCGATTTTTCCAAAACGCAAGACTATTGGAAGAATAATCCGCAAAAATCTGAGAAAGCAGCTGAAAATAAGAAAAAAGTTGCAGTTAGCAAAGGGTTTGCACTATCTGCGGGTTATTGGAGCTCCTCTAAGATTCTCATGCAAAGTTTTTGAAAATTAGCGATAGTTGGACATGGTAAAAACGAGTGGTTGTAATTTCCAGCAAATATCTCATCGCTCTCGCAACGAAACACAATGAAGGTTTAGCTGCTGGAAGGAGGAAGAACTTCTATATTGGATACATTTTGAAGCGTTTGTTTATTTTCATTCTAGCGTGTTTTCCGATTGGTTGAAAAAACTGAACAAAACTTTTGGACCCACCTACTAAGTTGTTTCGTAATTAATGCACGTTTTTTCTACCTTTTCTTTTAAATGTTAGTTTTTAATCAAAAATCGTTTTTTTCTAAAACCATCTAAACTATCAGAAAGCTCGTTTCTTCTTTTTTCTGATGTGCACTTCTGTTTTTGGAAATCTTTGTTCAGTACCTTAAGTTCCGTACCTTTAAAGGTAAGGATCTTGTTGTGTTAATATCTGATCAGTTGTTTTCTCGTATGATCTGCCCTCGCTGAGGCGCCTGCGACCTCAATGCGCGGGAAATGAGCGCTATAAAAGGCGCTCGCTGTTAGCCATTGTGAGTTCGACTGTTCACTCATCGCCTCTATTGTTTTACTGTTCTCCATTATTTTCTAATAAATATTCTTATTCCTCTCGTGTGCTGCCTCAGGACGAAGAGTCGACGTGTCCGACGTGGAGGACACAACAGTGGCGATTAGGATAGCGGCTACTAGCGAAGAAGTAGCCGTAACGAAGAAACACGCGCCAGGAAAAAGTCGACGAAGAAGCTGAGATGAGCTTAACGAATTGATCGATCGACATGGCGAAAGTAGACGTCCAGGAGATGATGACGGTCTTCAAGGAGATGATCAAAGAAGAAAGGAAGGAGATGATGGAGATGTTCCTGAAGCACATCGGAGGTACGAACCAGAACATTTCGACGGAGATTCCGAACATGATGTCCGCACTAAGCAATCGGATCGAAAAGTTCAACTTCGACCCAGAAGCGGACGAATGTTTCAACAAATGGTACGCACGCTACAAGGAAGTCTTCGTCGAAGATGCGAAGCAGCTCACAGAGAGTGCCAGGGTGAGGCTGCTCTGCGAAAAATTGGACAAGGACAGTTTCGAAAAATACCAGAGGCATGTGTTACCAAAGGAGGTAACCTCGATTAATTTCGAAGAAACTGTCGAAACATTAAAGCAGCTGTTCGACGTGAAGATTTCGGAATTCACTATGCGGTACCAGTGTCTAAAACTGGAGAAGGCAGATTCCGAAGATTACCTCCTGTACACCGGTCGAGTGAACGAATTGTGCGAAAAAGCAAAGATCCATGACTTGGACAGCGATGGCATAAAATGCTTACTATGGATTTTTGGCCTGAAGAGCCAAAAGGAAGCCGAAATCAGGCAGCGACTCATAGCCGTACTGGACAAGCAGTACAAGGCCGGACGAAAATGTCGCTTCAGGAGTTGTATCTGGAGTGCGAAAACTTTCTTAGTCTCAAGAAGGATAGCGAGACTGTGGCTGGTTGCACGAAGATTGTCGAAGCAACAAGCAAAGAAGAACCCAAGAAGCTGGAATGCTGGAACTGTGGGAAAGCTCACTTTGCCAGGGAATGCAAAGCGAAGCTCTGGTTCTGCAAGAAGTGCAAAACGACAGGTCACAAGGAGAAGTATTGCGAACAAGTGGCAGACAGAAAAGCACTTGTTCAGCAAGATTCGAAACGAAGAATCCACAGAAGCAGCGACACTAGTAAGAACAGAAGTTGGACGAAACCGAAACGTCATGTGCACAGCGTAGCGAAGATTGCGAACGCGATGATGGAAGTGAATTCAACTCGCGTATATGTGGAAGCGAAAGTAAATAGCCATCCAGTTAGTTTTCTGCTGGACACAGGATCAGATATCACCTTGCTAAACGAAGGGGTTTGGAGAAGCATGGGCACTCCACAGTTGGAAAAAACAGTCGTGATCGTCAAGAATGCTAGTGGAGGCTCCATGAAAGTCCATGGAAAGCTATGGTGTGAGTACGAAATCAAAAGATCCAAAAGCGAAGGCTACGCATACGTGACGCCCCACAACTCACTGCTAGGATTGGAGTGGATCCAGAAGAACGAAGATATGTCGTATCACTTAAGCAGAATGGTTGCCGAAGTGAAATTGAAGCAGAACAATGACATCGCTCAGAAGCTGAAAGAAACCTACCCAGAAGTCTGTAAAGAAGGTTTAGGACGCTGCACAAAGGAGAAAGCTCACATGAGAGTTGACGAAAATGTTCGTCCAGTGTTCAAAGCTTGCAGGCCTGTCCCCCATGCCGCGCTCAAAGCTGTCGAAAAGGAGCTTGATAGGCTGTTCGAGCTCAACGTCATAAGTCCAGTGACACACAGTGAATGGGCAGCGCCCATCGTATGTGTCAGGAAAGCGAATGGAAAGTTGAGAGTGTGCGCTGACTTTTCAACTGGACTCAACAAAGCGCTGGAGTCGTATGATTACCCGTTGCCATTGCCGGAGGATATATTCGCATCCCTCAATGGAGGCACGGTGTTTTCGCAGATAGATCTGTCGGACGCCTATCTGCAGATTGA